TGATTAATGATATGAAGGAAATAAATGAGGTACCGTATAGAGAATAATGGTCGGGGGCTACATAGGATGTGGTGGTTGGGTAGAACTCTCTGAGGAATCCGTTGCTGAAGTCACCTGAGAGGAGAATGTCAAGTGGGAAGAAGAGAGGGCCCAGGAACAGCCTGGAGGAGGCCTGACATTTGGTGGCCAAGTAAGAATGAGGATGAAACCGACAAGGAGATGGAGGAGGGTTGGCCAGAGGGGGTTGGGGAGATATCTCAGAGTGTAGTGTCTTCTCTTTGCTTAATAAATATATTTTTTGAATAAATGAAGTAGACATGGCTTGCTGATGAGGGGGAATGAAGAAAGAGAATGACCTTTCAGTTTGGGCCCAAGTAACTAAATGAAAGGTGGTGTGATTTCTTGATGGGAAATCTGGAAGAGACAAAGGGTTAAGGAGTAAAAACAAGAGCTCGGTTTTATACATATTAATTTGACATATTTATTAGAGATCTCAGAGAGGATGTCCAATGAGCAGTTGGATTTGTGAGCCTGGAGCTTAGGGCAGAAGTTGGGGTCAAGAAGAGAAATTTGGGGGGTGCCTGGGTGGCTCAGTCGTTAAGCCTCTGCCTTCGGCTCGGGTCATGGTCCCAGGGTCCTGGGATCAAGCCCCACATCAGGCTCTCTGCTCGGCGGGAAGCCTGCTTCTCCCTCTCCCACTCCCCCTGCTTGTGTTTCCTCTTTCACTATCTCTCTCTCTGTCAAATAAATAAATAAAATCTTTTAAAAAAAATTGGGGGATCTTCATCAGTTATGGATGGTATTTAAAGTCATGAGACAGGGCACCTGGGTGGCTCAGTCATTAAGCGTCTGCCTTCGGCTCAGGTCATGATCCTGGGGTCCTGGGATCGAGCCCCGCATGGGTCTTCCCTGCTCCGCAGGAAGCCTGCTTCTCCCTCTCACACTCCCCCTGTTTGTGTTCCCTCTCTCGCTGTGTCTCTCTCTGTCAAATAAATAAAATCTTTAAAAAAAAAAAAAAAAAAGTCGGGGCACCTGGGTGGCTCAGTCGTTAAGCATCTGCCTTCGGCTCAGGTCATGATCCCAGGGTCCTGGGATCGAGCCCCGCATCAGGCTCCCTGCTCCGCGGGAAGCCTGCTTCTCCCTCTCCCACTCCCCCTGCTTGGGTTCCCTCTCTCGCTGTCTCTCTGTCAAATAAATAAATAAAATCTTGAAAAAAAATAAAGTCATGAGACATAAGTGGTAAGTCTAGATAGAGAATGTCAAAGAATGTGCCTCAAAACATTTAGACCTAAGGAGAAGCCAGGAAAGGAGGGAAAGGGAGCAGCCCTTTAATGGAAGGGAAACCCACAGAGAGCAGGATCCCTGAAAAAAAACCAAAGAAGTGAGAATGATCATGTATGTGTGTCAAATGCTGCTGGGAGAGTAAGATAAGGACAGAGAATTGGCCCCCTATCTGTTGATCTTGGCAAGAATGGACTCATAATGGTATAGAGACAAAAGCATGGTTATAATGGTTTAAGGGGAGAACGGGAGCTGAAAGAGCTATGGGAGCATCTTGCTCCCACTTCTATTAAGTGGTACAGTTAGAAGCAAACCCAAATCTTGACTGTGGTGGTGGTTTAATGGTTATATATATGTCAAAACTTTGATCCAATTGTACATTTTGCAGTTTATTCCCCGACAATTTATTGTATGTGCAGTTTATTGTGTATCAATTATACCTCAGAAAAACTGTTAGCCCCACCACCACACCAAAAATGAACCCAAGCTTCACCACTGTTAGGCGACAGTTCATCGTTTACGACTCTACACTTGATGGCTTTGCGACATATCTCAACACCAGGCCTCTTCCTAAGTAGATGGACTGCGTCTTTCTGCTCCTACCACTTAAAAAACAAAAACAAAGGAAAAAAGGATACCTCTGCTCCTCCGCACTAGCCCGAAATTACTACGTTCAGTACTTAGTCATGCAGCGTCGTGGAGTCACCGGCTCAGGATTCCCCGACAGCCCTAAGTGCTTTGCTGACGTTGTGGGACTAAGCGGACGCCGGCTCCGCCCAGTCCCCGCAGGCACGCCCCCGAGATGACGGCGCGGCGCGCACGTGCACCGCCGAAGGACGGGGCCGGCGGTGGAGAGCCCGCCCCCTTAGGGACCCCACGCTGCCGGAAGCGGAAATAGCGCCCGGCGTCTCCAGAGTAGCTGCAACTGCCACCGAGATGCCGAAGGGACCCAAGCAGCAGCCGCCGGAACCCGAATGGATCGGGGATGGAGAGAGTACGAGCCCCACAGGTGAGGCTGATAGGCAGGGAACCAACGAGGGAGAAAAGGGGAGAAGAGAGTACGCGTGTTTTAGGAAGGGGTCACGGGGTGTGTGACAGACCGGGCCGTGAGGAAGGCCACTGCGCATGCGTATAATGGGGCTGGAAAGTGTTTATCCAGGCCGGAGGGAGTTGGGTGGGAACGAAAGAAAAAGTGCCGGGCTGTCGCGAACGAGTTTCAGTGGGACTGGGCAAGAGACAAGGAAAAACATATGGTGCTTTGGGAGAGATGGGGAGAAATCAGAAAGTCCCCTTTCTCTTTTGGACATCTTCCCCATCATACTGTATTCCACATTCCACAGGGATCTGTAAGCAGTGCCTCATACCCCTCCCACTGCGCGCTCATGCACGCACGCACACATACCACGCCACCCACCCATACCCGCTCGGGGGCGAGGGGATGACTTCCTCTTGAGCTATTGCATAATACACATCAGGTTCATCTGGAGCAGGAGTGTAGTGTAGCTAGCTACTGGGTGTTGGAATGAGAGTTAAGGTTTACTTAAAAGTAGCGAATGTTTGTTGAGCAGCTGCTTTTAATCACGATATGTACTGTGCTTGGGGCCCGGGGAGAAAAAAATACGAAGACATACTCTCAAATTTGAAGGCACTCCAAGGGGAGAGAAAATGGATACAAATAATTACTAGGTACACAGTGACTAATTTTACAAGCATTCATTGGATGCCTCTTGTATACCTGGTAGAGAACTGGGAACGTAGAGATTAAAAAATAAGACTTGCCCCAAAGGGGCACCCAGTTTAATGGAGGGGACAGCATTAATCAGAAAGTAGTTGACGGAGTGATGAATGTACTTGAGAATGCTATGAGACTAGAGCAGAGAGGAGAAGCATCTATTCAGACAGATAGGGTAGGAATGTCCGCATATCCTCTCAGGAATATGTGGTAGCTGAGTTGATTCTGGAAGGATCAGTGTGTGTTAGCCAGGGGAGAAGCATTCCAAGCAGAGGAAGAAGTCTGTGCAAAGGTAAAGACAGGTGAGCCTGGCTGGTTCCCAGTATTGAGTGACTAATGTGATGGGGTTGGAAAGATGTGCAGGAGACAAATAATGGAAGACTTCATACACTATTTTTTTTTTTTTTTAATGAGAGACAGAGAGCATGAGAGGGAGGAGGGTCAGAGGGAGAAGCAGACTCCCTGCCGAGCAGGGAGCCGGATGCGGGACTCGATCCCGGGACTCCAGGATCATGACCTGAGCCGAAGGCAGTCGCTTAACCAACTGAGCCACCCAGGCGCCCTTCATACACTATTCCAAAGACTTTAATCCTGAAGACATTAAGGAGGACTCATTAAAGTGCTTAAGGAATGATCTGATCAACTCATCCCGACAACACTGAGCAGTGGAGAATGGCTTGAATTGGTCAAGATTGGAGGCAGGATGACCATGGAAGAGGCTCTGGCGATGATTTAGGTGAGAAGTAGTAAGAGAGTAAGCCAAGGCAGTGAAGACTAAAGAGTTACTGAGGAAATAGCATTGAGCAGGTCTGAGAACTGACTGAAGGAAGAAAGAAGAAGAAGGACACTCAAGTAACTCAGTGGGTAGTAGACTATTGCTTGAAATCAGGAATGGGCTGTAGGATTGGGAGTGGGAAGAGATAAGGTCAATTTTTGAATGCCAAGTTGGGGATTTCTGGGAAACTTCTAAGGCAGATGGCAAGAAGAGAGATCTTAGGCTGGAAGTAAAGATACAGGTGTGTTGTTGAAACATTGGATGCAGAGAAGTCTGCTAGGGAGAGTATGCAGATTGAAGCCAAAAGAGGACAGAAGACAGGAACCCGAAAGAACCTCAACAATTAAAGGAAGTAAGGGAAGGAGGCAGAAGAGATGAGACTGAAAAAGGTGAGCCGTCAGAGAAACTAGAGGCAGACCAGAAGCAACAAGATCCCTGAAATTAAGTAAAGACAGGAGGGAAGTAAAACACTGACGAGGTGGTAGCATAGAATGTTGCAGAGAAGTATTGCAAAATCAGGACTAAAAATACACTTTTTGGGTTGAGCACCTAAGGGGACATGGCAACTTTGGCAAATTGGATTTGAAGTATGTTCGGAAAGGAGTGGGAAATGAAGCAGAGCTGGTGTGGATTGTACTTTGGAGACTTCTGAAGACAAGGGTAGCAAACAGTAATTGGGCGAGGAGATGTTAAGGTTAAGGGAAGTGTTCTGTTAGGCTTTGGAGTTAGGAGCAGCTTAAGTGGTGTACTGAAGGGGAGGAGCTGTTTGTTAGAGGAGGAGAGATGGAAGATACAGCATTGCTTAAGCCATACTTAGCTTTTTCCTGGACCAAAGTGAGGTTTAAAATTCAAAAGAGATTTAAAGGAAGGAGAGTTGATGTGGTTGTGTTAGGCTTGGGGAGAAATTAGTACCTGGGACGAGTCACTCCTCAGCGTTGTCAAGGTGAGCTGATCATGCCATTCCTTCTTCTGTACGGCAGTGGGTCCTCTGTCTTAATATCTTTAGGATTGGGGCGTCTGAGTGGTGCAGTCGGTTAAGCGTCAGACTCTTGGTTTTGGCTCAGGTCGTGATCTCTGGGTCATGATATCGAGCCCCGAGTCAGGAGTCAGGCTCCGTGCTCAGTGCGGAGTCCGCTTAAGACTCTTTTTCCTCGGGGCGGCTGGCTGGCTCAGTCGGTTAAGCGTCTGCCTTCAGCTCAGGTCATGATCTCAGGGTCCTGGGATCGAGTTCCGCGTCAGGCTCCTTGCTCAGTGGGGGGCCTGCTTCTCCCTCTGCCTGCTGCCCCCGTGCTTGTGCATGTGCCCGCGCACTCTCTCTCTCAAATAAAATCTTAAAAAAAAAAAAAATAACTCTTTCTCCCTCTCTCTCTGCCCCTCCCCCTACACTCTCTTTCTCTAAAATAAATAGAATCTTTAAAGCAACAACAACAAAAATGTCCTTAGGATTAAACTCTTTGGAATAGCATATAATACCTTTCATTATTTTTTCTGCACATCTTTTCAACTCACGATGTGGGGATCAAATTTTGAAATATGTTCTGGATGGAAGACACAGATTAAGCAAAGACAGACTACGTGTGCCTGGGAAAGAGAGGTCAATGTCCAGAACATAGGTGTGGGTAGGGAAACATATAGCAGAAAAGGTAGGATAGGGCCCTTTTAGTTTGCAAAGCCTTAAATTACAGGGATTGTCCTTTGATAACTCCAGTTTTAGGCAGAGTGGATGTTCAGTAAAATGTTCTTGAATAATGGATTACTGTGGACTATGGAATTTTAGCCTAAAAATACTTAATGTGGGGGACGTCTGACTGTCTCAGTTGGCAGAGAATGTGACTCTTGATCTCAGGATCAGGAGTTCAAGCCCTACGTTGGGCATGGAGTCTACCTTAAAAAAAAAGAGAGATGGGGCGCCTGGGTGGCTCAGTCGTTAAGCGTCTGCCTTCAGCTCAGGTCATGGTCCCAGGGTCCTGGGATCGAGCCCCACGTCGGGCTCCCTGCTCCGCGGGAAGAAGCCTCTCCCACTCCCCCTGCTTGTGTTCCCTCTCTCACTGTGTCTCTCTCTGTCAAATAAAAAAATAAGATCTTTAAAAAAAGGGGGGGGGGGCACCTGGGTGGCTCAGTTGGTTGGGCGACTGCCTTCGGCTCGGGTCATGATCCTGGAGTCCCGGGATCGAGTCCCGCATCGGGCTCCCTGCTCGGCGGGGAGTCTGCTTCTCCCTCTGACCCTCCCCCCTCTCATGCTCTGTCTCTCTCATTCTCTCTCTCAAATAAATAAATAAAATCTTAAAAAAAAAAGGGGGGGGGCGCCTGGGTGGCTCAGTCGTTAAGCATCTGCCTTCGGCTCAGGTCATGATCCCAGGGTCCTGGGATCGAGCCCCGCTTCGGGCTCCCTGCTCCGCGGGAAGCCTGCTTCTCCCTCTCCCACTCCCCCTGCTGTGTTCCTGCTCTCGCTATCTCTCTCCCTGTCAAATAAATAAATAAAATCTTTAAAAAAAAAAAAACTTAATGTGGTAGGTAGTAGAAAGCCTTTCTTTCCTTCTTTCTTTCTCTCTCTCTCTCTCTCTCTTTCTTTCTCTTTCTCTTTCTTTCTAGCTAAATGGTTACAGGAGTGCTCCTGGATAGAACTGGATACCAGTGGATGGATGGGATTGTTTGGAGGGGAATATGATGGTGGGTAGGCCTGGACAGGAAGAGAGGTTTTGAGGCTCCTGGTTGCGTCCCTGTCTGATGGGGGCAGGGAGAGAGGAAGTTAGGCAGAGTAGTAGAGGGAGTTGCCTTCAGGGAAACAGGGTTGGATAGAACGCGGGGGCTGGAATTTGTTCAGTCAGGTTTTATATAGGACATCCCACTTTCATCCATGGGAACCCAAGCCAGACAGTCTGTCAGGTTGTTCTCTGGGATGAAAGACTGATGTACAAACAGTTAAATAAAACGCAGTGTGATTTGTGCTAGAATGTGATGTGAGCAGAGAAGGTGGCGCATAGACCCAGATACTCGTTTACTTACCAGAGAGCTCTGTTCACATGATCCTGTGCTTTTCACAAATGATACGGGAAACTGAATTTATAATATTTTTGTCCTACTTTTCCCCTCATGGGCGGCAGGGGTGGGGAGAGGGGACCTTCCCTTCCAGTATATTCTGAGTTAATAAATAGTACCACTAGTGCAACTAATTTTGCCAAGCTAAAAATATAGGAGTCATTGGGGCACCTGGTCGGTGGAGTGTAGGACTCTTGATCTCAGGGTTGTGGGCTTGAGCCCCATGGTGGGTATAGAGATTACTTAAAAATAAATAAAATAATAAAATAAAATAAAATAAATAAAATCTTTAAAAAACAAAAAACATAGGAGTCATCTCTGAATATTGTGGCTGCTTACTCCCCACCTCTGTCTTTACCGTATGAATTCTCCTTCTCCCTTCCACTGCCACCAAGGCACCATTGTCTTTTGTGGGACAGTGCAGATGCCTAGGGAATGATAGAAAATAGTAAAATAGGGTGGAGCCACTGAGAGCTTTGCAGGGAAGGTCATGCTGCTTTGGAATTTGTAGATAAGCATTCACAATGTCTGCTTAACCTTCTAGACAAAGTGGTGAAGAAGGGGAAGAAGGACAAAAAGACCAAAAAAACGGTGAGGAAATGAGGGTTGTGGGTGAGAAACGACCATGGGTGTTTCCAATCAAAATATGACCATGTGGGATACCTGGGTGGCTCAGTTGGTTAAGCATCTGCCTTCAGCTCAGGTCATGATCTCAGGGTCCTGGGATCGAGTTCTGCATCGGGCTCCCTGCTCAGCGGCGAGTCTGCTTCTCCCTCTCCCTCTGTGATCTCTCTCACTTTTGCTCTCTCAAATAAATAAAATCTTAAAAAAAAAAAAAAATATATGGCCATGTGAAGGAGGTGGGGGGTTCAAGGGAGGAGGAAAGATCTTGTCAAGAGAGGAAGGAAGGTGAGAGTGGACTGGAGGGTCAGTGGGCCTGTGTGTGGCAGAGAAGGGCTTGGTTGGTCTCAGAGACACATTTACCTGTATCTTAATTCCTTTGCAGTTCTTTGAGGAGCTAGCTGTAGAAGACAAACAGGCTGGGGAAGAAGAGAAAGTGCTCAAGGAGAAGGAGCAACAGCAACAGCAGGTTCAAGTGTTAGGGGGTCCATCCACCAGCCCCTGCCTAGCCCACGTTGGTTCCCTGAGCTCATGGGGAACTCTCTCAGGCAGAGATGCAGCAGGGGACTGGGCTTACTCTGTTTTCCTTTCAGCAGCAAAAAAAGAAACGAGACACCCGAAAAGGCCGGCGAAAGAAGGATGTGGATGATGATGGAGAAGAGAAAGAGCTCATGGAGCGTCTTAAGAAGCTCTCTGTGCCAGCCAGTGATGAGGAGGATGAGGGTAAATAAATGACCTGAGGGGAAATGGGTTCCCAGAATCCCTGAATCATGAATAGTAAAGTGCCTCATTCCTTGTTCTTTGAGTTGGATTAGACTGAAGAACCAGACATTATAATCATTTCCTACCTCATCGTCTCCCCTTATCATTTCAGTCCCTGCCCCCGTACCCCGAGGAGGGAAGAAAACTAAGGTAAGCCATATGTGTTGTAAACAGGGACCCCAAGGGGGCAACCTTGACCATCCCACTGACTTCTCTGGCCCTTTCATTCTCTAGGCTGGTAATGTTTTTGCAGCCCTGATTCAGGATCAGAGTGAGGGTGAAGAGGAAGAAGAAAAACATCCTCCTAAGCCTGCCAAGCTGGAGAAGAATCGGATCAATAAGGTGAAAGTGGCAGCTCTGCTGGTCACTCCCACCCCACGTAGCGCCTTCTGGCTGTGGTGTGATAATTGCTTTGCTTTTTTCCCTGCGTTTATTTATTTAAATTTTTATTTTTTTTAAGATTTATTTTTAAGTAATCTCTACACCCAAGTGGGGCTTGAACTCACAACCCTGAGATCAAGAGTCACATGTTCCACTGACTGAGCCAGCCAGGCCGCCCTTTTCCTGCTTATAAACCAGTTCTTGTAGGGGTATCTGGGTGGTTCAGTTGGGTAAGCATCCAGCTCTTGATCTCAGCTCAGGTCTTGGTCTCAGGGTCGTGGGTTCAAGCCCTGCAAGTTTAAGCCCTGCTTTGGGCTCCATACTGGGCATGAACCCTGCTAATTAATTAATTAATTAATTCATACATACGTACAAACTAACTAACAAGTTCCTCTAGGTCTGTCTTCCTGACACTATCAAATTAGCTTTTTAATATCTATTCTCATCACTCAGAAGTCTGCAATGATTCTGTGGCCTTCAGACTCAAAATCTGAAACAAAGGACCTCAAGTCTTTGCTCTTCCACTTGGACCCTTCTGCAGGGTTACTTGGGATTCTTCCATGTGTGTGTTTTAGATCAGCCTGTTCATACCTCAGCATTCATTTCTATGTCTTTTGAAGCATTTTTTGGAGGCTTTTGTTTGTTCGTTTTAAGTAATTTTTATATCCAATTACATCCAAAACCCCAAAGTCAAGAATCACATGCTCTACCAACTGAGCCAGCCAGACACCCTGAAGCCTTTCTTTGTTCTTTATGCTGTGTCTTCCCTTTTCCTTCGAATGCCTTTTCCAAGCTCAACATCCATTATCTCCTCTCAAGATTTGCCCTCTGAAGCCCTCCAGTGCTAGTGCCACCCCACCCACATTGCTTGTTTTCCTGATTTCACGGTCCCTTAGCTTTGCTAACATCATCTAATTAGCTCTTCACTGTTACATCTCAAGCCGGAAGCTAGGGTTTTCCTAGATCTCGTTTTGTTTTCAGCAGCACTTGGTATAGTTAATTCCCAGTTCTAGATTCCTTAGAAATGCTTAGTAAAGGGGCACCTGGGTGGCTCAGTCAGTTAAGCGGCTGCCTTTGGCTCAGGTCATGATCCCAGGGTCCTGGGATCGAGCCCCGTGTCGGGCTCCCTGCTTAGCGGGGAGCCTGCTTCTCCCTCTCCTCCTGCCTGCCTCTCTGCCTACTTGTGCTCTCTGTCTCTCTGTCAAATAAATAAATAAAATCTTAAAAAAAAAAAAATGCTTAGTAAACAACAAGGTAGTAAATTAATTTTCTGTCTGTGTGTGTTCTCCAGGCTGTATCTGAGGAACAACAGCCTGGGCTGAAGGGCAGAAAGGGAAAGGAAGAGAAGTCAAAGGGGAAGGCCAAGGTGAGGGAGTATTGGCAGGAGGAGGGTCCCCTGCTGGCTCTCAGGAATTAGAACATTTCATCAGACCTGCTGTCTTCCCTGTTAGCCTCACAATAAATTTGCTGCTCTGGACAATGAAGAGGAGGAAGATGAAGAAGAAGAAATAACAAAAGAAAAGGAGCCACCCAGACAAGGGAAGGAGAAGGCCAAGAAAGCAGAGCAGGTGTGTATTTTGGTGTTGGGAAAAGATGGGCTGAGGGACTAGCACTCTGTGGCCCTTGTTTTGGGGAGGGGAGGAGAACCTGGGGGTGTTTTTACTACTACAGGAGTTGACAACCATCTGTAAAGGGCTACATAGTAAATATTTCTGGCTTTGTGGACCACATACCATCTCTGATGCATATTCTTTTTTTTAAAACGACTCTTTGAAAATGTAAAACCGGGGCACCTGGGTGGCTCAGTTGGTTAAGCGACTGCCTTCGGCTCAGGTCATGATCCTGGAGTCCCTGGATCGAGTCCCGCATCGGGCTCCCTGCTCGGCAGGGAGTCTGCTTCTCCCTCTGACCCTCCTCCCTCTCATGCTCTCTGTCTCTCATTCTCTCTGTCTCAAATAAATAAATAAAATCTTTAAAAAAAAAAAAGAAAGAAAGAAAATGTAAAACCATTCTTAGCTTGTGGGCCATATAAAAATAGGCATCAGGTAAGCTTTGGCCCATGCCCCATTCAGCTCTTGATTCAGAGAGGAAAGGACCCTGGTGTTAGCCTCAGATGATCTGGGTTCTGGCTCTGCCATTCACCAGCTGTGTGACCTTTGCACCTCAGGGGGCTCAGTTGTCTGTGTGATCTAGTGATTTGTGAGGTCCCTGCACCTCTAGCACTTTCTGATTCTGGATTCACATAGATCACTCAGTGCTGTATGTTAGGGTTCCTGGACCTTTTCTTTGCATGTTAGCATGTAAGCCACAGAAATTCATTTGATACATGAAGAAAGGAACCTGTTTCATTTATTCCCCTCCCTCCCAGTGGTATGGGTAGTTAAATTTGTAGGTATGTAGAATTGTTAATATTTTATACATGCATGTTCATACCATTTGTCTTATATAATTCCTGGTGGCAGAAGTGGCTGAAGGACTCGAGGGAGCCCAGGGGTGTGTATGAGAGCGAGAGCACCCAGCAAGATATTTCAGGACTCGGGGTGGAGAAGGAACAAGCTGTGGGACTGGGTGAATGACATGAAATCTGAGTTCTAGAAGGAGTCTCTTGTTTTTTTATCACCCCCTGGTTCTCACAGGGTTCAGAGGAAGAAGAAGAGGAAGAAGAGGAAGGGGAGTCTAAGGCTGATGATCCTTATGCTCACCTTAGCAAAAAGGAGAAGAAAAAGCTGAAGAAACAGGTAAGACCTTGGTCGATGTTAGGAGCATTTGGTTTTTTTAATATTTCAGTGGGGGTGGGTAGTGCACCTGGCTGGCTCAGTCGTTAGAGTATGCGACTCTTGATCTTGGGGTTGTAACTTCAAGCCCCGCCTTGGGCATAGAGATTACTTAAAATCTTTAAAAACATATGTTTTCAAATAGGGGATCTCTGAATTGGGAGGGCAAGAAAAGAGAGCTTCGGGGGTTACTGCAAGAAAAACAGTTGGAATAAGGAAAGAAGTGTATCCTGTTAGCTTTTTTTTTTTGGTGGCTGATGACATGTGACTGTGTTGTGACGGATAACTGGCAGACAGTGGCCTCATAAGTGATTTTCCTTCCTTCTCAGATGGAGTACGAGCGCCAGGTGGCTTCATTAAAAGCAGCCAATGCTGCTGAAAATGATTTCTCCGTGTCCCAAGCAGAGATGTCCTCCCGCCAAGCCATGTTAGAAAATGCATCTGACATTAAGGTAAGGTCTGAGGGAGCTCCCGCCCAACCATTTTGCTCAGGGAAGTGCCACCTTTCCCTGAGTAGCCATGGCAGCCGAGGAAGTAAGGTATGAGTGGCTTAGTCCACTGGAAGAAAGCTGGGAGGGGTGTTCCATACCTTGAGTTCTGCCACCTTCAGCGAGAAAATAAGAAAATCAACAGAAGTAGAGGGGTCCGCCCTTGGGGGCTAAGTAGGGTGGGATGGGCTAGACTGGCTTAGAATCTGGGAGACTGGGCGCCTGGGTGGCTCAGTTGGTTAAGTGACTGCCTTCGGCTCAGGTCATGATCCTGGAGTCCCGGGATCGAGTCCCGCATCAGGCTCCCTGCTCAGCAGGGAATCTGCTTCTCCCTCTGACCCTTCTCCCTCTCATGCTCTCTGTCTCTCGTTCTCTCTCTCGCAAATAAATAAAATCTAAAAAAAAAAAAAAAAAAAAAAAGAATCTGGGAGACTGCTGTCCAAAGCAGTGGACAGGAAGGAGACCAGCGTGGTGAGGAGAGGGCCATGCTGGAGCTGTCTGTCAGAGGCTTCTCAGCAGGGAGAAAGTTGCAGCTGCTGTGTGAGAGGGGGGCTCTCATATACTTACTCCTTCCCTCTGCCACTGTTTCCCTGATGACGACAGCTGGAAAAGTTCAGTATCTCGGCCCACGGCAAGGAGTTATTTGTCAACGCAGACCTGTACATCGTAGCTGGCCGCCGCTACGGGCTAGTGGGGCCCAATGGGTAAGGAGAGGGGCTGGAGCTGTACAGGGGAAGGGGCTGGAAGGAAAATAAGAAAATTTTCAGGGGTGGCTTGGTCCCAGTAGTTCTCATTCCCCAGCAAGGGCAAGACCACTCTCCTCAAGCATATCGCCAACCGGGCCTTGAGCATCCCTCCCAACATCGACGTGCTGCTGTGTGAGCAGGGTGAGGCCAGTGGTGGGACAGGGGCTTGTGGGGGAAGTGAAGCGGGTCTGAGGGGTGGGCAGTTGGGGGAGAAGAGTCAACCAAGAATAGAAGAAATTGTGGTTATGGTGGGGCAAGCGTTCTGGGGGAGATTGGGGACAGGGAGATGGATGCTAAGGAGAGGAGAGACTAGAGAATATTTTATTTGGAACAAGTACAAAGTGTTGGGCAAGGTCAGGCAAACCAGAAATAGAGCGGAAGGAAAGAAGGAATGGGAGTCTTGGCTCTCTGGGTGACCTGTCTGTTCTCCCCTTGCCCCCCAGAGGTGGTAGCAGATGAGACGCCAGCCGTGCAGGCTGTTCTTCGAGCTGACACCAAGCGACTGAAGCTGCTGGAAGAGGAGCGACGGCTCCAGGGGCAGCTGGAGCAGGGAGACGACACAGCTGCTGAGAGGCTAGAGAAGGTAGAGGACATGGCGCAGGGGACATGGGCTAAGTCTTGGGGGTTTCTGGAACCTTCAGACATGTGTCCTCTTCTCCCTCCTCCAGGTGTATGAGGAATTGCGGGCGACTGGGGCAGCAGCTGCAGAGGCCAAAGCCCGGCGGATCCTGGCTGGTCTGGGCTTCGACCCTGAAATGCAGAATCGGCCCACACAGAAGTTCTCGGGGGGTTGGCGCATGCGTGTCTCCCTGGCCAGGTGGGCCACCCACATCACCACCCTCCCCCTTCCAGCCTCCATCTGCTGGGGGGCTTTCCCTTCTTCCCGTTCTAAGGCCAGGAGGGAGTTTTAAGGCTTTCTACTTCCTCCCATATTGTCTGCATTATCAGACTCAAGATCTTTCCTCCCTACCTGGTAGTACATTTTCAATGACATCTCCTGCACAGGAGCTTCTCTGAGGAGAGATGGGGAAGGAGTGTTCTGTGGGATTTTCTGAGCAAAGACCTTCCTACCCCGATCCTACATTCTGCCACCCCACCCTCTAGGGCGCTGTTCATGGAGCCCACACTGCTGATGTTGGATGAGCCCACTAACCACCTGGACCTCAATGCTGTCATCTGGCTCAATAAGTGCGTCACCCTCGATTACAGTCTTTGTGTCATTGGTTCCCATTCTGTCCTTGTCTCCTCTAGCTGTTCACACTCTGTCCTTACAGTCTAGCACTTCCTCTTTTCCTCCCTTTTTTCATTGTCTGTCTACTTCCCCTGACTTAACCCTAACCTGACCATTGTGACATGTCCACACTCTTTTCCAAAACCCAGCTACCTCCAGGGCTGGCGGAAGACATTGCTCATCGTCTCCCATGACCAGGGCTTCCTGGATGATGTCTGCACTGATATTATCCATCTTGATGCCCAGCGGCTCCATTACTATCGGGGCAATTACAGTAAGTAGGATCATTTGTAGGAGGAGGAAAGAGATGAGGCCTCAAGAAAGGGCCTCAGAGGAAGGCCGCATAGGGATGTAGTGATAAGCTAAGTCTTCAGAGTCTAGACAGTGATGCCCCCCTCTGTCCTTACTGGTCCCAGTTGTCCCTCTGCTCGGGAGAAAGACAATGGTTGATGCTCATCCTCCTTTTCTGCCGTAGTGACCTTCAAGAAGATGTATCAGCAGAAGCAGAAAGAACTGCTGAAGCAGTATGAGAAGCAGGAGAAAAAGCTGAAGGAGCTAAAGGCAGGTGGCAAGTCCACCAAGCAGGCGGTGAGCACCTGGGGATCTTCCTGGCCTGGGGGGGCTCTTCTGTCAGTACGGAGAAAGGGGGGCCTCTGGGACACCACCCTTCATTTCAGGGACTGCTGTGAAGGGTGCGGATTTCTCCTTTTCCCCTTCCTTTCCAGGAAAAGCAAACAAAGGAAGCCCTGACTCGAAAGCAGCAGAAATGCCGGAGGAAAAACCAGGATGAGGAATCACAAGAGGCTCCGGAGCTCCTGAAGCGCCCCAAGGACTACACTGTGCGCTTCACTTTCCCTAACCCCCCGCCGCTCAGCCCTCCTGTGCTGGGTCTGCACGGTGAGCGGCTGCAGAGTCCGGCAGCACAGGGCGCAAGCATGTGCACCCCACGTCCTCCACCCAGCATGGGATCCATTCCTCTTCAAGGCCAGGACAGGACCTTCAGGGGGACCCTGAACAGAAAGTGAATCACTTCTTTTCCTGGTTCTCAGGTGTGACGTTTGGTTATGAGGGGCAGAAACCACTCTTCAAGAATCTGGATTTTGGCATTGACATGGACTCAAGGAGTGAGTTGGTGTCGAGTGCTTGGGGATGGGGAGCTGGACTGCAGGGACAGTTTCTGGGGACCTCTTTAACTACCTGTCTTCCTCCTTGCAGTCTGCATCGTGGGCCCTAACGGCGTGGGGAAGAGCACCCTGCTCCTGCTGCTGACGGGCAAGCTGACACCCGTAAGTCCTGGAGCCAGGACAGGAGAGCGGGACAAGTGTGAAAAGGCGCTGTTCACCAGATGCTAGAAGCAGGGAGCCCCCTTCTGTGCTGGAGATTTTAATACGGAACTCACCATCGAGGACTCACTGTCCTGAGAGGTGCTATAGAGGAGAACACTGTAGATCAGCGTCGGAGGGGAGAGCCAGGAGAAGAGGAGCTGGACTGGGGGTACCCCTCCCCCACGTGTGTTTTGGTTATACGAGAAATGCAAGTCCATTATAGAATGCTTAGAAATTGCATTAAGTCAGAGAAAACTCTAGAGATCACTGGTATTAATTTTGATGGATTGCTTTTTCTTTTTTCTCTGCAAATGTGCATATAATTTTTTTTTTTAACAAAAATGGGCTCTCAGATGAATTGTTTTACAGCTAGTTCTTTCAGGTAATATACATTAAGCATTTTTCCATGCCAGTAGTTATCTGTGTCTTTTGTGGGTCTACTATGATTTATTTGATGTCAGTCACTTCGATCATTTCTGTTTTTTCACTGAAGGTCAGTTGTATAGTAAATATTCTTACCGTATGTGTTCATGAATGTAGTGTTTTTTTAGGATATCCTCCTTAGAATTGCTTTTAGGACTTTTACAACACACTGCCATACTGTGCTTTAGATTGGTTGTAGCCCTCTTTACTCCCTCCAGGAAAGTGTTGAGAAGGGCCCTTTTCTTCACACACCACACGGTGTTTTTAGATCCTCTCACAAACTGTCTCTTAACCCCTATCTGAGGCTGAAAAAGATGCCATTGGTGGGTCTTCCTGGGTGGGAAGGGGGTGTTCTTTGGTTGTGGTCAGTCCGCTCCTGGTTCTGAATCTGTGCTTTTTGTCTCCCCTCTTTATTCTCCTTTCACTGCCCTTTGGCTCTGTGCTCTTCTCCTTTCTCGGGTGTGCCATTGTCACATTAGGGAGAACATCCGGGTTCCCTTTCCTGCATGGACTACCGATTCCGGTATCTGTCTCCCCTTCAGAAAAGTTGGGATATGGAGCGGCAGCACCTCTCCCCTTTTCCTTATCTCCCCACATACTTTTTCCTTGCAGACTCGTGGAGAAATGAGAAAGAACCACCGGCTGGTAAGTTGGCTTTGGAAATTAAGGAATAAAGAGTCTGAGAGAGGAAGTATGATTTTCACAGACCACCTCCCTCTCTTGGGCAGAAAATTGGCTTCTTCAACCAGCAGTATGCAGAGCAGCTGCGCATGGAGGAGACGCCCACTGAGTATCTGCAGCGGGGCTTCAACCTGCCCTACCAGGATGCCCGGAAGTGCCTGGGCCGCTTTGGCCTTGAGAGTCACGCCCACACCATCCAGATCTGCAAACTCTCTGGTACCACTGTAGGGGGCTAGGGAAGGTGTCGTCCTCCTTAATTTTCACACTTCCAGACTATACTTTGAGTCAGAAGAGAAGAGGGGCTACGACTTGGGGAATCTCTGCATACACACATTCAGCTTATCTTCAGAAACATAAGGCAGTGGGCGCCTGGGTGGCTCAGTTGGTTAAGCGACTGCCTTCGGCTCAGGTCATGATCCTGGAGTCCCTGGATCGAGTCCCGCATCGGGCTCCCTGCTCGGCGGGGAGTCTGCTTCTCCCTCTGACCCTCCCCCCTTTCATGTACTCCCTCTCTCTTATTCTCTCTGTCTCAAATAAATAAATAAAATCTTTAAAAAAAAAAAAGAGAAACATAAGGCAGTGAAGTGTGATGGCCCTCCTCTTTCCTTTGCTACAGGTGGGCAGAAAGCCCGAGTTGTGTTTGCTGAGCTGGCTTGTCGGGAGCCTGATGTCCTCATCTTGGTGAGTGAGGTGGACTGCGGGGGGGGCTAAATGTGACAGTAATGAAAGGAATTGTAATGCTTGGTCACGGAATGTCTCCTCCGTAGGACGAACCCACCAATAACTTGGACATCGAGTCTATTGATGCTCTCGGGGAAGCCATCAATGAATACAAGGGCGGTAAGTTGGCTCAGGGTGTGCCCTCTTCCTTTCCTTGGGGACCAGGCTGTAGTGTCCCTTCGCCAGAGCTCCCTTCTTTCAGGTTCTGATTCCCCTCTGCCGCCTCCCTCCCTGCCCTCCATTCTCTCATCTTTTTTCAAAGCTGTGATTGTCGTCAGCCACGATGCCCGACTCATCACAGAAACCAACTGCCAGCTGTGGGTGGTGGAGGAGCAGAGTGTTAGCCAGATCGATGGTGACTTCGAGGACTATAAACGGGAAGTGTTGGAGGCCCTGGGCGAAGTCATGGTCAACAGACCCCGAGAGTGAGTTTTCCTTCTGGAAGTCTCCTGAACGACAAGCTTGCGTGGCCTACAAGTCCCCTGTTGTCTCCCTTTCTCCGCTTGGACACCTTCCTCTGGTCTGCAGCTGACCCAGCAGCTACTTAGGCACAGGAAGGCGGAGCATGAT